AAGTATCATGCTGCAAGAAGAGACACAGTAAGCCGCCCCAGACAAAAATGCTCCAGATCTTCTTCCTGATAGACCTGATCTATGCTCCCGCTTTTCATCTCGGCCAGCAAGAAGAGAAGCTGCTGGATTTTGTCTGAAAAACCTGCATTGAAACAAGCACTAAGCTTTTTGGAAGTGGTTAAAAAACCACTGATATGCATTGCATTTATACTGTACTTCTACTATCTTTTTAGTTAGCAACTTCGATCAGAATTATTTGACAATTATGGTGAATGTAAATTGTGAAGTAAAACGAGGCCAATTAATTCTACACATTTGTACTGTTAGTCATACAAGTATGTAGATTATCCAAAGATTCTTCAGAAGAGCTATAAGAGCTTGCACAGCTCTGTAGTGAACTATCCAATCCATTAAAAGGTACATCGTTATCCGCTCATCTAAATTTGAATACATAACAAGAATATGCTAGCACTAAACCTAGGTAGATTTGGAGATCTAACTAACAGAATAAGAACTTAAAAATAAAACATAAATGAAAAAAGGAAAAATTTAGGGCACAGAAACGAAATTCCATAGTAGTGTACTTCAGGGATGCGTGGAAAGGGAAATCAACCTGTCGCTCAAACCTCTACGCTCAACATTTTTTGAAATGTTGCTTATGAAGCCATTGTTTTGATTGCGAATATGATCAAGAATTTTGTAAACCGCATTGTCCCTTTCATCACCCAAAAAGCTCAAATCTGCAGGTTCCTTGGGGTCTTGGGAAATAATTGAATTTAACTTAAAATCAGACATCACAAGCCTGCCAACTGAAAATCAGAGAATAGAAAACAAGTAAAGCAATTAAACAATCAGTGTAAAAGGTCTCAGATTTTAAACCCTTTGTTCAGTAAACATAAATTATGCCTTTTAACAAGTAAAAAATAAGCAGAGTCTTCAAGAGAGCAGTAGTGCCGATACTTAAGAAAGTCCCAAGCTAACATGCATCTACTTCCTCATTTAAATATTTATGCTGAGAAACAATAAGGCTCTCATTATGGTTAATTAACGCAAATCAACAGTTTAAAACTTCCTAGCTTGCTCTAATTTTGAACTACTCTTGCTATGGTTTAAATGCTAACAACACCTTAAATGCAACACTAACAACATCTTCGGAGAAAACAATTAACGATCAATTCGGGAGAGGTAAAAGCTCAATGCTTAGCTTGAACTAAATCAGTCTTTCAAATTAGCAAAGCATATGATACAATTTACGGTTCCCAACATTCTAATCAGAAGTAATTCCAAATTATCAACTATTATCAAGCAAAATTGAACAAAGAATAAACTCTTAATGTTAAAATTTAAACGTAATAGCTTATTACCCAAAACGAGTTCCAACGACGTAAAGCTTATATTTCCACAGAGGATATTCGCTTTCTACTTTTCAACTGATCAGAGAAGTTCAGCAAATCCCTCCACTGCAGCAGGAACTAACATAAAAATGTATATATATATACATATATATAAATGCACCAGATACTCGACCGATTAAGAAAACTCGATCCATAATGCGCGCCGTTAGCAAAACCAAAAAGCATCAGCCTGCAGAAGGAATCATACAGAGAACGATAAATTTTGAAACCACAAACCTTTTCGGAGCACACGCAAAGCGAAACAGGAAACCTGAACAAGAAGCGAGAAGAAAGAGAGAGATAAAGAAGAGAGACGCGTGGATTCTATGGAAGCTGTAAGGAGAGAGAGAGAGAGATAGAGAGACGCTGTGGCCTCATTTGAAGGAGAATAGCAGCTCCAAGTGAGAGCGAGATTCCAGGAACGCCCATGGAGTTTAATAATGCGAAGAGGAGAACAGATTTCGAGGTTTTGAAAAGTCAATTTGTGCATTTTCCACCCATTATGACGGTGAGCGCTCTGTCAAAACTTCGATCGGAAGGGAACAAATTCAGTGTTTTTTTCAATTGTGTTGAGATTTAAATGGAGGATGAGCATTTTCGCGCGGAATTTATGGCCTCCGTTTTTGTTACTTGCAGCTTTGCACAGAAACTTATCGTGGGTCCGGTTTAACGGGTCGGGTCTATTAGATTTGCAAAATAAAACATCTTTAAAATGATATATATATATATAAGTTGTGTGTTTATATCACATGATTTAGTTATTTCTTATAATATATCAACATAATTAACCTATAAAATAAATAAACTAAAATAAAAAAAAAGGTATAATCTAATAATTTAATTTAAAACGCAACAAATCATTCATCGAAGAAAATAAGACACTAATTTATCTATGCATATATATATATATATATATCAATAAAAAATATATTTTTACATGAAAGTTTATGTGGATTTAATTTGTACTATTTTTAGAATATAATTCATATTTTTTATTTAATATAATTATTAATAAAATATTGAAAAGCATAGTTTAATATTAGCAATCTAGTCCAAGAGTTTTACACAGTAAAATTTATGTGCTTTTGTAACAATAATTTATTAGAGAGTTCAGATATATATATATATATATGTAAAAAAAAATTAAATTAGTTCAATTTAATTCAATAATAAAACTATAAAATTAAAATCTAAAATTGTATCAATCATATTATAAGATATTTTTATTTATTGACGTACGTAATAATTTTTTTTAATAATGTTTTAATAAATATACCATTAACCTTAATAGTTAAAATATTATTATTTTTTAATAATTTTTACATTAATATAATATATTAAGTATATTTTATTTCATTCTCGTGATTTTTTAAAAAACTTGTGACTAGATTATAAGTTGGGACATTCTTACAAAATTTATCTTGGATAAATTATAAAATTAAAATGAAATGCAAATGGGAACATTTTACAAGTCATTTGCCAGAAATTTTCAATAATACATACATACATATGTATTTGTATACACAGAAGATGTTTAAGAACGAAAATTAGATTACAATTTATACCCAAAAAAAAAAAGATTTACAAATTATAAAATTTTAAATTATAATTTCTGGAAAACTAATATCTCAAACTTAAAAAAAGACTTGCGCTTTACTTAGCATTTTCATTTTACTTGTACGTGACATGATCTAAACTTTAATTACTCTGATTTAGATTTTAGACACCAACTACCAAAAAACAGCCCTCTCCGCGCTCTAACAGGTGGGACCTACACCTGGCACCATCGGATTAGAATCTGATCAACGGTGGAAAATGACCGACGGGCTCCGACCAATTCTCCTGTGACCGACGACCGGCTCCAGATCAACAATCGCAGAGAAGGGGGAGAGGGGGGGTGGGGAGGAATCAGATGGTGGTTGCCTGCCGTGCCTAATGAAAGAGCTAACCGGGATTAAATGCATTGCGCTAAAAGCCCGCTTTCCTCTCGGGAAACATGACATGACATCTGCATGATTGAATCCCCCTA